AGATCTTTTTCTACAAGAAGCAAGGATGTTTGATGTGCAATGGTTCTGGCTACATATTGTTGTAATAGAATAGTAATAATCGGGTTTTCTAAAATTAAAAAGTACATTGTCACATTGATAAAATGTTTCTGTTGGGGGTGTCACATAATTCAGATGAAAACAGAAACAGGAGTGCAAATATCCAGTGAGAGCCAGTGTGGTGTAGTGGATAAGAGCAGTAGACTCGTAATCTGGTGAACCGGGTTCACTTCCCCGCTCCTCCACATGCAGCTGCTGGGTGACCTTGGGCTAGTCACACTTTTTTGAAGTCTCTCAGCCCCACTCACCTCACACAGTGTTTGTTGTGGGGGAGGAAGGGAAAGGGGAATGTTAGCCACTTTGAGACTCCTTCGGGTAGTGATAAAGCAGGATATGAAATCCAAATCCAAACTCTTCTTTGCTTATTCATCCCAAGCTTGGAATGGAAATCCATCCAGCAAATGAAATTGGTGTTCACCATGGTTTCTGCTTTCAGTCTACAAATGATCTACATAATTGTTTATAACCCACCCTCCTAATTTGCCTTGTGAAATGATTGGGCGGAATAACATAATGACAACAGTGTTTACACAATTTACGAGATTAATTAAGGGATTTGTGCAAGTTGCATAGATTCACCACGGCGAGTTGAATAACGTAGCTTTTGGTGGAAGATGAACTGCGGCAGAACAGAAACAGAGTTGCATGCAACCAATACACGGTGAGGCAGGGAATACCACCCTGGTGCCTTTTTACATCTCTCTTTTCCATTATGCACATTTGCACATAATAGGGATTAGGGACCTCTGAGACTCGGTGAAAGTAAAAGGCAGATCAGAGGCCTTTTCTCTTTCCCCACTTCTACCCTCCCCACAGTGATTTCCTTCTTCGCCGTTCACTGCTTTGACAAAATGGCTGACTTGGCACCTCTTGCTTCCCGAGAGGAAGCCCATCTTCCAGCCTGGATCTGCGCTACTGCCTTCGCCCTGCAATGCAAATGTCTGTGAAGATTTTGTGGTGTTTTCTTTAACCTCTCCCCACCAGGCTCAAAAATACAGTTCGTGTCTCAGGTGGCATTGTTCCCGAGGCCATTAAATCATTTCAGCTTGAGACCATTGATGTGTTATATTTTTCTAATGCCCTACATTGTCAGTGTTATTCGCTGTGGGAGAGAGCTAAAAATAAACATGTACTTTAGCTCTTAGATAGTGTGTTGATACTGTTCTTCAACAGGGAAAAGGTAGAGAGTTCTGCCAGCCAAGGCGACGTTCTTTCTTCTCTCTCTCTCTCTCTCTCTCTCTCTCTCTCTCTCTCTCTCCATCTCGCTCTCTCCCTGGTGAAAGTGCTAAATAAATGCAATTAAGCAGATGCATCGAGAACCCAAGGTGTTCATCTCGGTTATTATTTTGAAAAAATACTAACGTTGAAACAACTTTATTGTGGCAGCAATTGACTAATAGCTGGACTTGGGGGAGGCACTTTAATAGGCCAATTGGTGGGGCACCGGTGTTGTGCATTCAAATCACTTTTTTTAAAAATGGATTGTTTTGAAGCAATCACAATTGCTCCATTTCAAAAAAATAAAAAATCCCAGCTTTAAATTAGGCTTAATAGTTACCTGTCTCACAAGGTAGCTGTGAGGTTCATACATACAGTTGGGAGAAACTAAATCTCAACAGACTTAGACTGCCACACAAACCCTAGGTGAGAAGTGATGGAATTTAATGGGGGGGTGCCACTGCCACATCCACAGTCTTGTTAGTCACACTTGCTGGGGCAGAAAGGGGAAGGCGGATAACAGCTCCAGCCTGGAACAGTTGCTGCAGTTGAGCCTGATACCCTCATGCCATAGCATAGAGTGCTTCGGGTTCGGGTGTGGACTGTGCCAGCTGATCACAGTGCAACCATGGGTTGAAGCACAGGCAGCAAAGGTAAAGGTAAAGGACAACTGGACCGTTAAGTCCAATCAAATTCAACTATGGGGTGCAGCACTCACCTCTGCTTCCAGGCCAAGGGAGCTCGCATTTGTCCGCAGACAGCTTTTCCGGGTCATGTGGCCAGCATGACCAAACCGTTTCTGGTACACGGAACACAGTGACAAAAGCCAGAGGGCATGGAAACACCATTTTCCTTCCCGTCGCAACAGTACCTATTTATCTACTTGCACTAGTATGCTTTCAAACTGTAAGATTGGCAGGAGCTGGGACAGAGCAACGGGAGCTCACCCCATCGTACTGCCTACTTTACGATCAGCAAGCTAGACAGTGGGAACAGCTGGTGTGCACAGACTGGCAGTTATATCACCATACCCTTCAACCGCCCCATGTTTAGTGGGATATCCTAGATTCACAGAAGCATTCCCAGCTTATGTTTAGATGTGGGAAAGTCCCGCTTTCCCCCTCCAGAACCACCACCACCAAGATTGGGGAGGTGGATGAGCCAGCCGAGCCTCTCCATAGCCACTGTTGCCAGTTTCCTCCCTTTGGCATCTCATAGGGGCTGCTGGGAGGGACGTAGGTGGCACTGTACCACCATAGAGCCTAGGACTTGCCGATCAGAAGGTTGGCGGTTTGAATCCCCGCGACAGGGTGAGCTCCCGTTGCTCGGTCCCTGCTCCTGCCAACCTAGCAGTTTGAAAGCATGTCAAAGTGCAAGTAGATAAATAGGTACTGCTCTGGCGGGAAGGTAAACAGCATTTCCGTGTGCTGCTCTTGTTACGCCAGAAGCGGCTTAGTCATGCTGGCCACATGACCCGGAAGCTGTACACTGGTTCCCTTGGCCAGTAAAGCGAGATGAGCGCTGCAACCCCAGAGTCAGTCACAACTGGACCTAATGGTCAGGGGTCCCTTTACCTTTACCTTTTAGTGGCTGCTGGAGTGTGGGCAAAAGAGGAGAAGTTGCAGCTGCTGAAGCCCAGCCCTGAGTGATGCACTGGAAGCAGCAGCAGCTCTGGTCCACCTGCAACAGGAGCCACTGGCATTGCCAGTACTGCCAGAGTAATCTCTTTTTTTTTTTTATAATGATATTTATTAAAGTTTCACAAAAATACATAAAAATACAATACAAAGAAAAAAGTATAAAGTTTTAAGATACAACAAAAAAGTAGAAAATAAGAAAAAGCGTACAAAATAAAACAGTTAAGAACACAATAATATTCCATAACCTATCTTCCTTACTCTTATTTCCCCGGACCTCCTCATACCTCCCTTCTTTGTATTCCAATTCAATTTGTTGGTTCAGCAAATCCTTTCCATTAGTCTTTTACCCAATTGTTAACCTTTTTTTCCATGTCTCTTAAAGCATTACAGCCAAAAACCTCTTAGTTTCTATCCAACATCCTTCTAAAGTTCCTTAATTTTGCAATATTTCTGTAAATAGTCCTTAAATTTCTTCCATTCTTCTTTCACCGATTCTTCTCCCTGGTCTCGGATTCTGCCAGTCATTTCCACCAATTCCATGTAGTCAATCACCTTCATCTGCCATTCTTCCAAAGTGGGTAGATCTTGTGTCTTCCAATACTTTGCGATAAGTATTCTTGCTGCTGTTGTAGCATACATGAAAAAGGTTCTGTCCTTCTTTGGCACCAATTGGCCGACAATGCCCAAGAGAAAAGCCTCTGGTTTCTTCAGAAAGGTATATTTAAATACCTTTTTCAGTTCATTATATATCATTTCCCAGAAAGCCTTAATCTTTGGGCATGTCCACCAAAGGTGAAAGAATGTACCTTCAGTTTCTTTACATTTCCAACATTTATTATCGGGCAAATGATAAATTTTTGCAAGCTTGACTGGGGTCATGTACCACCTGTATATCATTTTCATAATATTCTCTCTTAGGGCATTACATGCCGTAAACTTCATACCTGTGGTCCATAACTGTTCCCAGTCAGCGAACATAATATTATGTCCAACATCTTGTGCCCATTTAATCATAGCAGATTTCACCGTTTCATCCTGAGTATTCCATTTCAACAGCAAGTTATACATTCTTGACAAATTTTTAGTTTTGGGTTCTAACAATTCTGTTTCTAATTTTGACTTTTCCACTTGGAAGCCTATTTTCTTATCCAAATTATATACCTTCATTATCTGATAGTAGTGGAGCCAGTCTCTTACTTTATTTTTTAATTTTTCAAAACTCTGCAATCTCAATTTGTCTCCTTCTTGCTCCAAAATTTCCCAATATGTCGGCCATTTGGCCTCCATATTGAGCCTTTTCAGAGCTTTTGCTTCCATTGGTGACAGCCACCTTGGGGTTTTATTTTCCAATAAGTCTTTGTATCTTATCCAGACATTAAACAATGCTTTCCTAACAATATGGTTTTTGAATGCTTTGTGTGCTTTGACCTTATCATACCATAAATATGCATGCCATCCAAATACATTGTTAAAACCTTCTAGATCCAAAATGTCTGTGTTTTCAAGAAGTAGCCATTCTTTCAGCCAGCAAAAAGCTGCTGATTCATAATAAAGTTTAAGGTCTGGCAGGGCAAATCCACCTCTTTCCTTGGCATCAGTTAATATCTTAAATTTTATTCTGGGTTTCTTGCCCTGCCAGACAAATCTAGAAATATCTCTCTGCCACTTCTTGAAACAGTCCATCTTATCTACAATTTGTAATGTCTGAAACAAAAACAACATTTTAGGCAATACATTCATCTTTATCACTGCAATACGGCCCAGCAACGAGTTTCAAATTTGACCAAATTTCTAAGTCTTTTTTCACTTCCGTCCAACATTTTTCGTAGTTATCTTTAAATAAGTTCCCATTTTTGGCTGTCATATTAATCCCCAAGTATTTCACTTTCTTTACCACATTCAATCCTGTCTCATTCTGAAACCTCTCTCTTTCCATCGGTGTTAAATTTTTCTCTAAAACCTTAGTTTTTAACTTGTTCAATTTAAAACCTGCCACCTGACCAAATTCCTGAATTAATTCTAAAACTCTTTTAGTACTAGATTCTGGCTCCTGTAACGTCAATACTAGGTCATCTGCAAATGCTCTCAGCTTGTACTGTTTAGCTCCAACCTGTATGCCCTTAACCAACCGGTCCTTTCTAATCATATTTAGCAAAACCTCCAGGACCGATTGCCAGAGTAATCTCACCACAGGGGCTGTCCTCGTCTCCCTCATGCACCAGAGTCCAGCAGAGGAGAGGCGTGGCGCTGCCACCACTCCTTCTTCTCCCCATCACTTCTGTCCCCAACATGATATCCTGGGTCCAGAACTAAGAATGCTGGCAGGTATGGCTATATCTTTCTTTTTCCTTTCTCCTTATGTGTTGGAACCCCTATTTGGGGACTTCTCTGGCTTTATTTTTCTGGCCCATGTAGGACCAGTCTGGATAGTTAGCCTTGGTGAAGACTTGACGTTTTTATCCCCCCAAAAAGTTTTTGATTGAGTTTCCACTGAAATGAGGCTGCATTCTAATGTTTTAATGTTGTATTTTAACCTTGTTTTTTAAGCTGTATTTCAATCAATTGTTTTTATATTTGGTTTTAGCCACCCTGAGCCCGGTCTTGGCTGGGGAGGGTGGGGTATAAATAAAATTATTAATTATTATTATTATTATTATTATTATAGCAGTAGCTTACACAGGCCAACACTGTCTTAAAATGCCAGAAACCTCATTAACTTGCTCCATATCCCGCCCTCATTTAAATGCAGTCTTCTCCACCTCTCTCTCGTACACATACACAGATAGTCGATATTAAGAAGTGTATGAAAGCATATATTTTTTAATTCTCTTTCTCTCCCTCTCTCTTTGTTGCTACAAATTTAGACTACCTTCTGCGAGGAAAAGTCTCTGGACGATTCACCTAGAATTCCAGCTCCTCTGTACCAGTTCCCCACAGCATGCAGGAAAGGTTGCTGTGACAGATGTTTAGAGGAATAATTGCTACAGCGGTTCCTGCTCAAGCTTCAGATATGAGACAGCAGTGGGGGCAGGGAGGGTTGGTGTGCTGTTGTGCACACACCAGTGTGTGAGAGGGAACCATGACTCTCCAGTCCCTTTACCTGAACAAAGCTTATGCAATCCAGACTGTTAATCGCTGCACACAGAAGCTGCCATTGTCCTTACAATAGCAGGATGACTTCATATTGATCAAGCACCACAAAGATGGGGGGCCCGAGATCTCATGTCACCCATACCTGACTTCAGAACTTGAGCCCTTTTGGCAGACGGATTCACAAAGTAGGGATGGGAGAATCTCATGATTTCAGTTTCTCTCAATTTCTCATTTTTCCAAAGTCCTGTTCTCCACATTTCCACATCAAACTGCGAAGGCTTTTGTTGCTTGGTTTATTTTTTTAAAAAAAATAATAATCATGAAATTCACCAGCATTTTAGTATAAATTTATCCCACTGTTATTTATTGATCTGTTTCATAAAATGCATGTACCGCTTGGTTGCTAAAACAAACCAAAACCCTAAAAGCGGTTTAGAGTAAGATTAAAACAACGGAATTGTCAATATATAAAAAAGTTAAAGATGAATATTCGAAACCTTCAAAAAATAGCTAAAATTGGCAATGAGCTAGAAAACAGATGAAAACGCATGCCAACATTATACATATTTGATCGTGTTGCCTAAACAACCATGTTTTTAGCAGGCACCAAAAAGAGTACAATTGAGGCTCCTGACTGGTGTCAATAAACAGAGAGTTTCAAAGTGTGCATGTTGCACACCAAAAGATCAATTCCTTACTAAAGTGGGGCCACACACTGCACCTTCCACCATGAACAGCATCAGCCTAGATGGTCTTAGGAAGTGGGAGATTGCTCTGTTTGTGGACTATTCAGTTTTAGAACAATACTGCATGCAGTGTTTTTTGGATCGACCTATTGACATTGCTTCCATGTTTATCCAAACTTCAGTGTGTTTTTTGAAACGGCATGGCTAATGAACTGTTTTGAGAAGCTGATGTTGTGTTTTTGTTCATCTTGCTATCATTATGATCTCATTCTGATGTGAGCAGCTTTGGGCACCGTTTACTGGGGAACAAATAAACAGGAGACGATGCTAATGGTGACCTCGCTTACTGTCATGTTTGCATCCCTAATCTCAAAGCACAAGAACACTGATTTCCAGAAGGAGTGATGCCAGGCGATTTTACCCAACAAGATTGTTTTATCTATTTCACTTTCTGCCACAAAATAAGGATTACAGGATGCTGCCTAAAACAACATCATACTGTCTGTTCCATCTTGTCCAGTTTTGTCAACACTGACTAGCAGTGACTCGCCAAGGTTTTAAGAAGACGTCTCTCTCAGATAAGGATGTGCAAAACTGCCTGTCTCCTTTTCTGTCTCTCCCCTCCCCTCTTAAGTTCATTTCTGCATCAGTCAGCATTTTTTAAACAAAAGAAAATCATGGAAATTTGTGTTCAGCGCACAATTTTGTCTAATTTACAGGCATAATCATTCAATATGTGCTCAACCGTGTATACGTGCATCGCACCGAGCAAGGAAGTGACCCTAAAACGTCACAAAAACATCACAATGAGAGGCGGGGGGGAGGTGGAACAGGGGCAGAACAAGGTGTTTGCAGGCTTTTTCAATGGTGTTTCAAATATACGCAATTTCACTAACACTCATGGTGTCTCAGAACACAAACCCCGCATAAATGGAGGGTTGCATGTCTACATTTTTGAAAGCCATTTCCCCTGCACTTTTGTATGTTATCTCTGCTAATACAGTGGTACCTCGGGTTACGTACTTAATTCGTTCCGGATGTCCATTCTTAACCTGAAACTGTTCTTAACCTGAAGCACCACTTTAGCTAATGGGGCCTCCTGCTGATGCTGCGCTGACGCTGCACGATTTCTGTTCTCATGCTGAAGCAAAGTTCTTAACCCGAGGTACTATTTCTGGGTTAGCAGAGTCTGTAACCTGAAGCGTATGTAACCTGAAGCATATGTAACCCGAGGTACCACTGTATGTGCATTTTATGCACACTATTCCCTAACCTACTTATTCTTGTACATATTTGGGACGGGTCTGGAGAACTGTGCTACAACATTCAGAAAAAGACCCATTCCGTAGGGTAGCCGTGTTCCATTCTGCATATACCGTTTTGGAAAGTGAGAATTTAGATAGGTTAGCATTGAAATACAAGCCATGCTTAATTTCTCTACCACCCGCCATCCCAGCACTGCCTGGCAATGCCTGGGGGTGGAATCCGGAAACTCTTGCATGCAAAGTGCCTCGTATAACTGAGTTTCGTAGCCTGTTTGCCGGATGGCTTTCAAATCATTCACTCACATAATCACACAATTTCTCTTTTGGAAAACAAGGTTGGAGCCTAAAATGTAGGAGGTGGGGGGGGAGCATTGATTAAGCTACAACGCAGGAGCAGATAAAGTTTATCCGACCCAGTGGCACATATAAGCCTTCCTTTGTTCTGTGACACTCTGCTGTGCTTTTGGCGCTCTCCATATTAGGAGATGCAACCTTCGCATTCTGACATGAGCTAAAGGCAGGCTCTTGTTATAAACAGCAGCCGATAGCTCGCTAATTACGGCTATCTTTCTATAAGCAGGAGATGGCTGTACCTTCCTGCTTGTTGCAATTAGCAAACACCAACAGCTAAGGCCTTGACACAATCCAAGGCTTTCATTCTCCTCCCACATAAATGAAGTCATAATGCACTTACTGCAAAAAAAGAAAAGACAAGACCCCACAAGAAACAGCTGTGAGGTTTAACGCACACAAGGCTTGATAATATTAATGCTTCACAGTTACATAAGCCATTCTGGTTTTTTGTTTTTTGCCTTGGCCTTCGTTATACAAATTGAGTCATTAATCTGCTTTCCTGGTCTGTGAGGTGGGAATGACATAGCCCAGTGTGCAAAGTTCCCCCACCGTCCTCGGTGGTAATCAAACGGAGCTCTGAGAGATAGCCATGGAGGGAAAATCTGTTTCCAGTGGATTTATGCAGGAAACTTGGCAATTCTGACCTGGCTGAGCTTGGCCTGTGGTGGATGACTTCTGGATTGAAGCACCAACATACGTCCAAGCTGCTCATGCTCTGTTGTTTAAAAAAAATCCCAACTAATCATGAGCAGAATTATGCACCCTGCCCCAAAATACTGTATGTATATTGTGTATCAAAGAGTCAAGACTCATGCTGTGCTGTATGGGTGAAGCATAAGCTTATAAGTATTAATACATGGGTATTTTTAGACGGGACGCGGGTGGCACTGTGGGTTAAACCACAGAGCCTAGGGCTTGCCGATCAGAAGGTCGGCGGTTCAAATCCCTGTGATGGGGTGAGCTCCCGTTGCTCGGTCCCTGCTCCTGCCAACCTAGCAGTTCGAAAGCACGTCAAAGTGCAAGTAGATAAATAGGTACCGCTCCAGCGGGAAGGTAAACGGCGTTTCCGTGAGCTGCTCTGGTTCGCCAGAAGTGGCTTAGTCCTGCTGGCCACATGACCCAGAAGCTGTATGCCGGCTCCCTTGGCCAATAAAGCGAGATGAGCACTGCAACCCCAGAGTCGGTCACGACTGGACCTAATGGTCAGGGGTCCCTTTACCTTTTACCTATTTTTAGACAGATGCATTGTTTTACACATTCATTTATGTGCTTGCTTCTTTCGAAAATCTGGAGTGCGCATGCATATGTTAGGTATATAGTATTATACGCATATAACCATGTGAGAATTGTTCATATTTTTTAGCAGAACAATAAAATGACATTGAGGTAACAAATAGTATATACCTCACCAATCAGCTTAGTACATTGATACAGATGGATCAACCCCCCACAGAAAGTCTGGGTGAACAGATGAGGTTTAAACAGACTTCTAAACGTTAACAGGGTAGGTACCTGCCTGGTGTCCATAGGCAGCACATTCCAAAGGGCAGTTGCTGTCACACTAAAAGCCCAGGCCTTAGTCGATGCAAGATGAACCCCAGGACCATATGGCATTACTGAAAGTGTCTTTCCTGAGGACTGGGCCGTGGTCTACAAAGTGAGGTGTTTCCCAAGATAATCTGGTCCCAAGTTGTTCAAGGCTTTATACACCAACAGCAAGGCCTGAAACATGATCCCGTAGCACATGAGCGGCCTGTACAGCTTTCTCAGCATGGTTGTTATGCTCTGTCAATAGGGCATCATCTTCAACAGCCTTGCTACAACATCCTACACTAGCTGCAGCTTCTGGACCAACCTTAATGGAAATCATCAGTGGCTACAAATGATGGTGGCTATATTACCTCTAGGATCAGAGACAGTAAGCCTCTGAGAACCAGCTGCTGGGAATCATTGGTGAGGAAAATGCAGTTGCACTGATTTCCTGCTTGTGTGCTGGTCCCGACGGTTAACCATGCGGCGAGGTCTGAGTCCAGTCTGAGGTCGAGGGTGCGGTATGGAGGCTGTCCATCAAAGCTGAAGCTGGATCCAAGGCAGGGAGTCGGGTGAGGTCAGGAACTCTGGCAGAAGAGCAGGACAGGGTGCAGACAGGAACACGCTACCAACAATGTTGCTCCCGCGACCTCGGACTGGGGCTGGCTGGCTTTTATCTGCCCTGAGGCATAGGGCGGCCCCGGTCCACAGGTGACTCGCCTCTCCTGGCCTGGAGGCGAGCACTCCTCCTGCAGGAACTTAGTTCCCTCCGCCTCTCTGCCCTGAGCCTCTGCAGCTCAGGAGAGGCTGGAGGGTTACCGGACCCAGAGGCAACCTGAGCTTCCCCTGACGGGACTGAGAGTGGAGCACCTGCAGACAATGGGTCCTCCATCCCCTCAGGGGCCAGAGCAGACTCAGCTGGTGCCTGCACCTGAGGATCCAGCACAGGTGAGGACCCTTCAGGCTCAAGCCCCAGCCCCGGCTCAGCTGGTTCTGGAGGCGGGGACTCCTGTGCAGGCTGGGATCCCTCAGGTTCAGCCTCCGAGTCCGAATCCCAGGCCATCACAGCTTGCAGTTTCCAAATTTGCATCTAGTTGGTCGCTGTAAGAACAGGATGTTGAGCTAGATGGGCCTTGGTCCAATCCTGCATCTCGGTCCGATCTGTGTTGTTTATCACAGGGGCAGAAATTGAAAAGGAGATGCTTAACCCATACCTGGAGAGGGAAGCATAAATAACAGCTTGACCCCACCAACTGGAACGGAAAAGAACAAAATCCCATGGCCACTGCTTCCACCTCACCTTAAATGAAATTTCTACATGGTACGGTTTAAATCAAATAAAAAGGGAGTCTATTTGCCGTTCGCAGCTTCTAGGAAATGACTCCTTTCAATGAGATACATTAACAATGCATGTTGTGTATATCCGAGGCAGATAAGCATGGCC